GGCGGCGAGCGTCTTGGTTTCTCGTGGCTTCGCTTACGCCCACAGCAGAAGCCGGTACCTCTTTCGCGCGGCTGAGCGACGACAATTAAAACGACAAAAGAATCCAACGCGATGCAGTAAATCAGGGCGATTTTTAAAGGAAACGGAACGTATTTGTGGAAGGATTCTCCGCGGAAGGAGAACGGTTGTGCGGGGTGGGAAGCGAGGCTTTTACACGTGCGTGCAGGCAGGGGTATCTGCGCAGCCCCCTGCCGCCTTCGGCTCTGCCTGCGAGGGATGAGGTTTTCATGAGGTTTGACCAGATAAAATCCTCAAATTTTTACGGCCGCGTTTACCTCTTCGCTTTCGAACCACTGCAGGGTAAAATCTCCAAGCAGAACAAAGTAATTCTCCTGCCAGCTGCAGGAATCGCCGTCGTAGTGGGAGAGCAATCCGTCATGCAGAGCGGCATCGGGCGGCCCCCGGAGCTGAGGGGACAAGAGAGAAGAACCCGAAAACCTCAGCAAAGGCGCAAAGCGTCAGCGGCGCGAGGAGCCGGAGGCTGGCGTGTACCCAGGGTGGGAGCTGGCCCGGCCAAGACCTTTTTCTACAACCAGTGTTGTAGAAATAATCACGAGAGGCAGCTGAACACAGACATCTACCGGCAACAAAAAGTAGAGAAAGAGCTAAAAAACAGCATCGCCATTCTCTGCAGTAACGTGCAGCGAGGCTCTAAGGGCTTCAGTTGTCTTTGGCATCGACTTGTGAGCCAGATCCTCGCCCGTCGATCCCACTTTATCACCCCTCTTCAAACACGTTCCTAAATATTTATTTCTAAGCCACAAAAGATCACGTTTTCCCTAATAATGGGTCGCCGTCCCACATAATGTTCAATGACACGACAAAGGCAACGGCACCCGCCTCTTCCCCTTCGTAGGAGGACGGGCACCTCCGAGACGAGACCGACCTCGGCAGACGGGAGCGTTTCTGGGCGAGACCACAGCGGGCTTTTACCTCACTCGGCAGGAGCTGCAGGGCCGGTTTGCTGTGGGGGTCCAGCTCCCCCGAGAGCCGTCGCAGAAGAGCGGGCGCGAGCTGCCTCCGGGAATAGGGCGCAAAGTCTTCATCGTGGCATCGGCGCGACCTGCGGGCAGAGCAAAAACAGAGCCGGTTTTAGGGGGAACCCTCCTCCCAGAGGAGGCCGCTCGCTGATTTTAATTTTCTTTTTTTTCCCCCTCTCTCCCTCCTCTAAGACCAGCAGCAGAAGCCGAACGCTGAGGCACGAAGCAACCTCTCTGTTTCTCAAGAGAGAAAAAGCGACGGCTTTTTATTTCTCGCACTTGTGGCCGGACCCCGCTCCCAAACCACGGGTGCTTTATCGCCCCGGGAACGCGGTCAGCGGAGCACGGGAAGGCGTTCAGGCAGAAAGGCATCCGAAACATCAGAGAGTCTGACACTACTCGAAATTAAAGAGACTTTTATGTGCTGCTGCTGCTCCAAACGCTCCTTCCGCCGGCTGGAAAGACGGAAACAAGGGAGTAAATTCATCGATAGCAGAGTTACGGAACTGTCGCGCCCCATAAGCTTGAAAGAATCAGACCAAAAAAAAGCCACGTTTCGAAGCTCCAGAGACGTCTTTCAGCACAGAGAAACGCGCAGCTCAAGGGACGGAGGAGCCGGGGAGGG